TAAGGGCAGCCCAGATTCAAGGGAAGATGAATTAGATTACCCCTAATCTCCAAAGCAGAAAATTATGGGCTGGCTAACTATCTTATGGGCTATCAAGGAGTTGATTGTGAAACTCCTTTGGGGGATAAATCAGTTTTGCAGTTACTGGTTACCCAACAACTACTTTGTATTTGAGGAGAAAAAGTGAAATGTTGCATATGGTTTCTTCTGTTTTGTTTTCTATATTTGCCTTAATGCAGTAAAATTAGTGAGCCTGGCTTTGCCTCACCATTAGGTTAAGTATGATGTAAATAATGCTAATTGTATATGGACAGCATTGGGGAGAGGGTTCCAAGATGACACGAAGCTTTTAAGTTGGAGTGATTGGGAGTATGGTTGTGCTTTTGACTGAAATAGGAAACCCAGGAGGCAAGTAACAAAATACCCAACCAAAGGCAACCTAAAATGCTCATTTTTCTCATAGAAGTTTGGGGTAGGTAGAACTCAAAGAAGTTTCAGATATGGTAGAACTCAAAGATGTCAGGACCCAGTCTGCTTTTCTGAGAGTCTTTGACCTTCCTCTCATGTTGCAAGATAGCACCTCAGCTCCAAGCATCGCATTAATTTTTTATTGACAGAAAGGAAAGGATCTCTCCTGATGTCTCCCATCCCCAAGAGCTACATACTGGTCAGGATTGGGTCATGTTTCCATGTGCTGGCTTCAGAGGAGACCGAGGGAGCTGGTAATGGATGCTCGGGCTTTTTCATGAGAAGCCAGCTCTGCTAATAGGGAGAAAGGCATTAGGTAGGGAACCAACAACGTCTGCCACAGTGATGAATTCCATTTTCTCTCCCTACACAGTGGCTAAGGGCTCACTTAGTAGACTTATAGAGCTTGAACTGAATGGGCTAAATCATAACTATGATAAATTAGTATTTTCTGGAAGCCAGTTTCTCAGTGGGCTCTTTCCCCTTTACTTTGTGATTGAGAGCTAACCCCTCTGCTTCTTAACAAATAAAATATTTTATTTCCCTTACACTTTTAAAATATGAATGAAAGCTCTTTGGCTGCCATGAAGACATGTGTCTGTCCCATTATGCATTGTACAGGATTGCCTTTCTCGTATCATTACAAGTTATATGTCTTCCTAAGTGCCTTTATGTGTGTGTGCACATATGAATTTGTAAAAGGAAGAAAATTCCATAGACATTATGAACCATGTTTGTTTTAGAATCTGGAGGCTCAGAACTAGGACAACCAATTCTAGCTGTTCCCCTGAATGGCAGAGGATGGCTGAACTGAGCCAAGCTGAGCCCATGGCATAAGCAGGGTAATGCTCAGAAAACATCTTCAGCTAGAGAAAAAGTGTCTTGGCTCAGAAAGGGCATGGTTTGGGCATCTGGGATTGCAGAGTAGTGCTTCAATTCCTAAGCTGGATAAAGTTGGAATCCTTTATTCAGTAGGTCTGTAATTGTAATTGCCTAATCTGTAATTGTCCAATTTTTAACTGGATAAAATTCACATGTAATAAAGTGGTGCTAAGAGTGTCACTAATGGTACCTTTGCTGGTGAAAGTGGGAGGAGGAGGGGAAGACCTGAGGAACGAAGCTCTGAATTTCATCTTGTATCTGAAGCAGTTTATGTTTTCATCTGACATTCATTGAGTGTCTACGTGCCCACAGTGCTGAGGATGGAAGAAAAGACAAGACCAGGTCTGCCTCTGAGGCACTGGCAGTGTTGCGAGAGGGAGTCAGCAACCCTGCCTTCTCTTAACAATAGAGAAGTGAATGTGGGAAATCACTATTGTCTACCAGGCAAGCTGGTTGGGCTGGTTTTCCTTATGATTTTAAAGTGTTTAATTTCCAAATTTGAGTTGGTATAGTAAAATCACATTATGTTACAGTAATTTTGTTTGAACTGAGTTATAGTGAGTGTCAAGAGAAGGGCTTACCTACTCTGATATTTCAGAAATAGATTTCAGGCAACTTGGTGCCTTGGGGAAATTTTTATTTCCATATAGTACCTGGAATGATTGACTCAAGTCAGTGAATCTGTAATATACTGAAAGCCGTATTTCTGAAAGTCCTGTTTTAAATGCTACAAGTATTGTTGAAAAATTGATACTTCTAACCAAAATAAAAAAGCTTAGTTAATGTCTTATATACTTCCAGAAAGAAAGCAAAAACTGATATCAAGCTTAAACTCTCTTCTTAGCTTCTCCTAACCACACAAATCTGGCCCCACTTTAGACTTTAATATACAAACAAGACTGTGTGAGTCTTAATTCATGTCGTCAGGGGAATTGGACACCTCTCCCAGTGGTAACCTTAGGTGTCCTGGTTTTGACTGCCACCTTTTGCTCCAAATCTCAATCCTGGCTTGAATCTCAGGCTTCTAGGGCCTGCTCATCTCCATGCTTGTCCTCCGTGTGGGTGCAGCCTGTTTGGGCCCCAGGGCACCGGCTCTCAGGGCTCTTCATGGGTAGGCCTCCTCTCCTGGATCAGCACTAACAGAGGAACATACATCACTGCGGAGTGAGTGAGAAGTGCTTGCACACCTCGTTCCTCTGCCATCCCTGCCATAGGGCAATGCATTGCCTGCTGGCTGGGCCATTTACCACCTTCCAGAACTGATTTCTCCCTGCAGAATCTCTTCCCACTTCCCAGTCTTTCCCAAATCCAGAGGCTTCCAGAACAACATAGCCCTAGGCTAGGACTTCCTTAATCAAAAAGTCTCAGAAAAAGTGTTTTTCTAATCCCAAAGCATCCACCTTACTAACCCTAGTGATGCAGGTTTAGCCACATTAAAAAAAAAAAAAAAAATGGCAGAAGTTTGAAATTGTAAACTTTATTCAATGGGCTCAATATTCAAGGTGTCCTGGGTCAGGCATTCAAAGCCTCAGAGCCCCTGTGCCTTCTTCCCTGTTTGGGGTTCGCCAGCAGGGGTCCACCTACAATTTTGTGCTTTACTTTCCTGTGGGCAGTTCCAAGGTATGGTGTCACTTCCCCTAAAAATATACTTTTTAATATATTACACAGGCTTATAATAGTTCGAGACAGAACAACAATTTTAGAATAAAATACCTTAGAAGAATTGGGTCCAGTAACAACTTAGGGCCTATAAAAGGGCCATTTCTGGTGTCTGTGAGAGTTGCACAGAGGTGGCTGGGCGTGTCCAGGCTGTGTGAGGTCCTGGTTGAGCACAGGAAGTCTTCCTGGGGCACCAATGTCCCAGCAAATTTGGAAGACTCATTTAAATGTTAAAACGACAAACATGCTATGGAGTAGAATACAAAGTTTGTAATAATTTTAAGGTAAGATGTTTTAGGCATGAGAAGCTTCACTTTAGCACTGCTGTCCCAGATGGCTCCAGGGGGTCAATTAAGGCAACTTTGGTAGAAGTTTGAGAAATATGGTGCTTAAGAAAGTACCATCATACAAAAATGCGTAATTTTTTAAAAGGTGTGTTATGGCATTGGTTACTCCTTATTCTGCAGATAATTGGTAAACCACGGACATTCTTATTTTCTTATTTTATGTAACGTGTGCCAAAAAAGTTGTTTGAGTTGATGCATTTGTAAATTCAATACTTGTAAATGCAATAAGCACTTTTTAAGAAACTATAAAATAAATTCTTGTATAAATAATTACTCCCTGGTTATTAGTTTTGTATGTTTGAGTTTAATAAGACTATTTTTCTTAAAGTGGGTTTTTTCACTTATCTGTAAAGATAAACATCCACTCATCTTAAATTGGAAATAGTTCTTTATTAATTTGGCTTTCAAAAAATGTCATTTTATCAATACCATTGAATTTATCTCACTCATGCCAATAAAAATTTAAGATGATGTTTATTGCTAAAGTTGAGTAGTATAAGAAGTATTTTTTAGATTCCTGACCATATTAAATATATAAGTTTTTCACTTCTAATATTTGTTTTGTTGTACATGCTTCATTCAGTTCAATCGTGCAGTTTCTCAGGGCAGCTGATTAAATAAGCGTGGAATGAACCAGGCTAATCCTCAAACTTGGTTTGGGATGTTGTACTCTTGATTACTCTAAGCAATTATATTAGAAAATATAAATGTTCAGGCATTTTCATTTACATGCTGTATGTGTCCAGCTACTTCCAAATGCTTTCTTGCACTTCATACATATCATCTTCAGTAAGTGTTTAATAGGGTAGGCTTATTAAAGTTTTATTATACTTAATATAAAAGAGTGGAAACGAAGATAAAGTAGAATGGATAAAATGTCATTGAAATAATTTGGAGTACAATTTAAGTAAACTTTTTTATTAATTTGGAAATTTAAAAGCATGTGACTACAACTTAAGATGTGTCAAATATATTATGGAGAAAATAAGAACAATATTGTATTATTGGTTTCTAGATTTTTTGAAAAAGACTATTAACTTTAGTCTAAAAATATAAAAGATAAAACTAACTTAGCTGCCATATTTATTCAGTAACTCTGTGGGTTAATCAACTGCCTATAGAAGATTTAAATAAGGTGTAGAGCAGAGTATAAGTATTATCAGCTAGAAAAGTACGTTATTATATAGAAATTCTTACAGAACATTTATAATTTTTTCAGTGATTCTTTTACTATGATTATAATCTCTGTTACACAGGAAATACCAAAATGTTACTGACTTACCTGTTGTAGTGTGAAATAAGTTTTAAAATTTTAAATAAATTTTATTCGTCTACAGAGAAAGTGTGTGTTTTAATGGGAATATGATTAAATCAAGTCTTGTAAACTAGTAAATTAGCTTTGAATTGAAATAACTAAAACATTATTCATATTAAGTTAGAATATTGGGTAAAACCAGAATTGTGGCTATTCACTGCTCTGTAATTCAGAGCACAGCTCAGGGACAGGCTCTGAGCGTTAGGAAAATGCTAGTTTGTGTTGTGTTTTGCTGACAGAGTGATGTCTGTCTGCTACAAACAGAATTGTGGGTATGTTGTTGAAGTGAAATTTTAATGAATTTTTATATTTTTTTATTTCATTATTAGGCTATCAGCTGCAAAGGTCAACACAGTATATCATATACTCTGTCAAGGAATCAGACTGTGGTGGTGGAGTATACACATGATAAAGATACAGATATGTTTCAGGTAACATCTTACTCTTTTTTTCATGGAAATTTTAGGACGTTATTCCTTCAGTTCTGTATTTTGATATGTGATCAGAACTTCTAGCACATAAGCTTTTGGTGAGGCCCCATGGGAAGAGGTGAGGATAATACAAAAATTATCCTTTTTGGTTTTTGAAAGATTAAGAAAACTTAATTCTAAAACTGCAAAAGTAATTATAAAGGCTACATTCTCAGATCTCAATGCAATAAAAATACTTTAATAGCAAGAATATTTTTATAGCCAGCTTCTTTTAAAAGCCGACATATTTAAAATACTTCCTAAGTAACAGTTGAATGAAAGATGACATCAAAACTACAACTATAGGCCTTTTAAAAAATAACTGGGTACATTATATGGCAAAACTCATGAAATATGACTGACAGTATACTCAAAAGAAATGTAAAAACTTTAAGGGCTTCTATTGGAAGGAAGGTAGGAAGGAAGGAAGAGTCAAGGAATTAAACATTTGTCTCAAAAAGTTCTGTTTAAAAAAATAACAGTAAGAAAGTAGAGGACAGGCTGAGAGACAACAAGATGGTGGGATAGGTAACTGCCATACCCGCCACCTGCTACAACCACATCAGAATTATAACTAAAATACAGAACAACCATCATTCAGAAACTCCTGAAATCTAGTTGAACAGAAGTCCTGCAACTAGGAAACTGAAGAAGCACATCCAGACCAGTAAGAGGGGTGGAGACACAAGGTGGAATCTGGGATGAATCGCTGAGATGCAGTGGTGGTCCCCCACCCAGATGCAGCAGTTTAAAGCCAGGAGGATATCTCGGTGGTGGAGGTTTCCTGGAGAGGAGAGGGGGGAGGAGCAAGGGTTCCCAGCCCCACATCAGGCCCCCCAGCCGAGGATTCCAGTGCTGGGAAGAGAAGTCCCCACAACCTTGGGCTATAAAAATGAGCAGGGATTATGGCTGAGTGACGCAGAGACTGCTGGAGTCCCAGGCAGCTCCTCTTAAAGGGCCAATGCACGGACTTACTCAAACGTACTCCCTCTGAGCTCCAGTGTTGGGTAGCAGCTTGAGAGGAACCTGAGACATTTGGGGAGAAACTAACTTGCCTGGAATCAGGAAGAAAGCTGGAGGGGCAGCTTTCTCACAGAGAGCAGGCAGAGGCCAGTGCTCCTTTGAAGAGCCCTCTCCCCACAGAGTGGCAGGCGCTTTTTCTGAATCTCCGTCAACCTGGCCCTGCCCTGGTGAATTCCTGAGACCCTGCCCCTCCCTACTTGCAAGCTCATCCAAGCCATTTCCAGTGGCTTTTTTATGCAAGTGGCTTCTCTAACCTCATGTTTAGGACTCTCCTAAAATCTCTCAAACAAGCAGCAGCTGGCCTCAGCATGCCCCATACCTCTCAGTAAGTAGCCCCAGGCCTGGCACTAGTGGCAACCTGCATTGGTTCATAATGTGGCCTCTCCTGGACACCTCCAAGTCCAACACAAGTAGCAGCCATCTACAGATTGCTGTGTAGCTCATGCTGGGGGGCTCTGGGCAGGGCACAGGTAGAGGCTGACTTTGCATCCCAGGAGGCCCCAGAAACAGTGCATCCGGTGGTCAACTTCAACCACGCTAAATTACAAGCCTACTGCATCCACAAGTGACACACTCAAGGGGCAGACTCGGTGAACACTAAAGCCCCACTGAAGTAAATTCTGCTCCATAGGGGTGTGAGCTCTTCGCCTGTAGTTGCAACTGATCTTCACAGCTGATTGGCCTGGAGGTCAGTTCCTCCCAGTGATGCCAAGAGCAACCAAGGCTCAACTACAACAGGACAGTGCACACAGCCCACACAGGGGAGTACCTAGAAGGCCCAGCTCAGGTGACTGGGGAGACTGAGCCACTGGGCCCTACAGGACACCTCCTACACAAAGCCACTCTACCAATTCCAGGAGACATAGAAGCTCTACCTAATACATAGAAACAAACACCAGGAAGCAGCCAAAATGCAGAGATAAAGAAACATGTCACAAATGAAAGAAGAGAAGCAATGTCCAGAAGAAGAACTAAATGAAATGGAGCCAAGCAAGCTACTAGATACAGAGTTCAAAACAACAGTTATAAGGATGCTCAAGGAACTTAATGAGAATGTCAAGGATCTTAGTAAGACTTGTAAGGAAATTAGTGCGATCATCAATGACATGAAAAAGTACCAGTCAGAAATGAAGGCTATGCTAACTGAAAGGAATGATAATTTACAGGGAATCAACAGTAGAGTAGAGGACGCTAAGAATCAAATCAGCAATTTGGAATGTAAGGAAGCAAAAAACACCCAACCAGAAGAGAAAAAAGAAAAAATAATCCAGAAACATATAGTATAAGGAATCTCTGGGACAATTTCAAGCAGCCCAACATTCTCATTATGGGGAGTACCAGGAGGAGAAGAAAGAGAACAAGAAATTGAAAACCTATTTGAAAAAATAATGACAGGAAATTTCCCCTACATGGTGAAAGAAATAGACTTACAAGTCCAGGAAGCACAGAGAGCCCCAAACAAGAGGAACCCAAAGAAACCCACACCAAGACACATCATAGTTAGAATGCCAGAAGTTAAAAACAAAGAATTGTAACAGCAGCAAGAGAAAAGCAGTTAGTTACCTACAAGGGAGCACCTGTACAACTGTTTGCTGATTTCTCAACTGAAACTTTGCAGGCCAGAAGGGAGCGGCAAGGAGTATTCAAAGTGATGAAAAGCAAGAACCTACAACCAAGATTACTGTACCCGGCAAAGCTGTCATTTAGAACTGAAGGTTCGAAAATGACCTTCACAGAAAAGAAAAAGCTAAAGGAGTTCATCACCACCAAACCAGTATTAAATGGAATATTGAAGGGTCTTCTTTAAGAAGAAGCTAATGAACAAAAGGAACTGACAAACAAAATAGACCCAGAGACATTGAAGCATGCAACAGACAATCATATTTCAGAGGAAGGGAGGGGGCTGGAGGGTGGGAAGAGATTAACCAAAGAAGTTATATACATATATGCATAACACATGACCACAAACAATAATGGGGTGAAGGCCTGAGGAGGGGGTGGGAGACAGATGGAGGGGGTCAGTGGGGGGAAAAAATGGGACACCTATAATACTTTCAACAATAAAGATAAGGAAAAAAAAAGTAGAGGACAGGTTCAGGAATAGTTCTATTGATACATATTAGGATGTCCAGAAAGTAGAAGGAAGGAAGTAATAAAGGAAAAAAGTAATCAATTCAAAATGAGAATTACTATATCTGAGATTTGGTACTTTAAAACAACAGAAAATTAAGGCTAATAAAATAAAAAAGCAAACACAAATTGGAAACCATGAGGTTTTGCATTTCTGTATGGAGAGTTAAATTATTAATTAAATGTTGAACAGATGTCAAATAAGTATCATAAATACTGGCATCAAAAAGGGATAAAATCAGCTCTTACAAATAAGAAAATATGCTCAGCCTCACTTATAAAAAGAGAAATGTGAATTAAAATGACACAGTTACCGTTTTTCACGTACCAGATTGGCAGAAATCCAGAAGTTTTTGTCAGAGATAATGGGAGACATGCTCCTACATGCTATAAATTGGTACTACCTCTATGGGGCGATGATTTGGAAATACCTATGAAAAGTGACTCGGCTCTTCCCCTAAATCTCTGCTTCCTAGAGATTTACCTTGGAGATACCCCTGCATACGTGCAAAACATTTTTATCAAGCCACTGCTTGAGGCATGGTTTAATAATAAAAGATTACAAACAACCTAAACGTCTTTCGGTAGGAGACCAGTTCTGTGAATTAGAGGACAGCCATACAGTCGGGGCCTCCAAGGCTATAAAACAAAATAAGAAAAAGCTCTACATGCAGACATAGAAAGAGTTCCAAGCATATTTAAAGAATTAAATATTAATACTATTAAATATATTGAGTCATTGATGGTATTATATTCAGTTAAGATTACTTAATGTTGAGTGTTAATAAGGTAAATAATGTTATTAAATATATTAAAATTTAAATAGCATGTTGATCATTAAATATTAAGTTAGTATAATTAAATGTCTAAGTAATGCTTATATGTAGCAAGTGAAGCACTTGCCTTTGTGGGGAAGAGGACCAGGCAGGTGGTATACAGGGAAGTACTTCATACTTTCTGATTGTTTGAATCATGTGAATGTGTTAGCTATTTTTTTAAAAACCACTAAACAATTATAGATAAATAGATGGATAGTCAGAGCCATCATCATAGTCATAGGTATAGACATATAAGTGCTAGTTTGAACTCAGAAGTAAGATTTATTATCAAATTTAGACAAAATATTAAATGGTTTTACTCTTTATGCCATTTCATTTAATAATATTCCAAATGGTTTTTCTTTCCGTTCTACCGAAGAAAATCTCTAAGTAGTTTTAGATGGTAACATTAGCATCTATATAGTTGAGAAAATTGTTTAAGAATATCAACATTTTTTCAATAGTTTCTTAAAACAAGTGTAGGTGTGTTTATGTCACAGCGATTAGGCTCAGTCATAATCCTCCATTCATCAATTTCATTTCTTGAGTGTGTACTACTACGTGCCAGATACTCATCTAGTTCCTATACATAGTAAGCTAAGGCTTCCCTCTCCTGGAGCGTACATTCTAGAGGAGGCAAAAGACCACAAACATGCAGGCATTCCAGGCAGAGGGCCAAGTCCCCAAGGCAGGAGCTGAGTGAAGGAGGAGGGAAATGAAATGAGATGACCTTGGAAAGGTAGGCAGAGGCAGGAGAGGTAAGGCCTTTAGGCCAAGTAAAGAACTTGGGTTTTATTTTAGGAGTTTGGGAGAAGCCATTGGAGGATTTTAAGCAAGAGAGAGGTATAACCTGATTTATGTTTTCAAAAAATATCTCCAACTACACTGTACAGAGGAGAATGTAGGAGGCCAGTGTGAAACTGGAAGACCAGTTTGGAGGCTTACCAAGGTAATGCAATCCAAGAAAGAGCTGATGGTAACTGGAACTAAGGTAGGGAAAGATGTGTTTTGGAGGTAGTGTTGACAGGATTTAAACAAGGTTAAACATGGGTGTGAATGAAAGTATCAAGAGTAATTCTTAGGTATTGATTTTTAGCTTGAGCAAATTGGATGTCAGTCATTGACATAGGGAATCTAGGGATTGAAGAAGGGAATCCAGGTTCTGTTTGGAATGTGTTACATTTAAGATGCTTGTTAGACATCCAAGTGGACACTGAGTGTGCTCGTCTGAAGCGTGGGGGAGAGATCGGGGCTTTATGGTTAATAAATGGGATTCAATGACATTATCCAGGGAGAGAACAGAAAGAGAAGGGAAGGGAGTTATTTACCAACTAGCCTGGAAGGGTTTCATTATTTGAATACTAGGTACAGATGTGCCAGGATCTGCCGGCTGAGTATAAGCCCTGGAACCCTCAGCAAGAGAGGTTTCAGTAGAGCCACTGGGAGGGAAGCTCAGTGGGAGTGGGTTGAGGAGACAAGTTAAGGGAATGAGTAAGGAAATAGAGGTAGTAACTAGTGACAGTATTTTAAAGAAGTATTGCTGTTAAGTGAATCAGAGAAATGAGCCAATAGCTTGAGGGCTCCTTGCAGGCAAAGGAAAGTGTTTTTTAAATATGAGACTAGTCTAGAGCACTGCTACTCAAACTACTCAGCAGAGCAGCGAAATGTCTGTTAACAGTACAGAGTGAGATGAGTAGGACATTGGAAACTGTTATAGCAGTTTGGTATTCCTGAAACATCAAAACAGGTCTAATACTCATTTTTATTATATTTTTATAAGGTATTCATGGCAAATTGAAATTTAAAAAACAAAAACACAGGTTCTTTACTCCACAGAGGCACAGTGTGAGAAGCTTCAGGATGTGTTTGATAGCTGATGGCATGATCCAATCTCAACAAAGAAATTGATGATTCAGGGGAGAGAGGAGGCAGGAGAAAATATCGGGAGCAAAATCCTTAGGAGGTAGAGAATATTGGGATCTCAGGCATCAGTGGAGAGATTGGTCTTGAATAGCAGCTGCAGTATTTCATTCTTGTTATAGGGGGGAAGCCAAATAATGTTATAGGTGCAAGGACATATGAAGGGTTGGTCTGGGAAACTGGAGGGAGGCCCTTTCAGGTGCTCCCATTCTTACTATCTTACCTGTACTGACTTCGACCGACAACCAGGCAAACCCCAACTTTTCTCATTTATGTTAAAATTTAAAGTGCTGAATGATGCTGTGTCTGTGAGTATCAGCAATAGGGATTAAAATTCTCCCTATGGCTACTATATGAATGTCAGCACTATATGAATATGAGATGAAATTCAGAAACACCTTGGCTTATCTATAGTACTTCCCTTAAAATAATGTAGAGTTGATCCAGTAAACAAAAGAAAGGGCAGGATCCAAGTTTTCCACAGTGGGTGAGTTTTCAGCAGGAAAGTGGCTCTGTTTTTTTTCTGGCAAAAGCACCCTGAAGTTTGTTTCATACAGAGGAAATTATACTAGCGCTGTAGGTTAGATTTAAGTGGAAGTGAATTGATAAATCTTATATGATCAGCCAGATAAGTATCATGACTTGAAATAATTGATCCTAGCAGTATGTTCCAGTTGGAATAAAATGCCACGTATTGCAGTCAATTTCAGTTAATTCATCAGGACATTAATTTAATACATTGGGACGAAATCAGAATGGCCTTTCTTGAAAAGAATAATCTCTGTAGACAAGGAGCCATGTGTGACATTTTACTAGAATGTGGTTTTAGCTTTGAGCTTCTAACAGAACCTAAAAGGCATTACCCTCTACCATGGAGGTGGCAGAAAGATCAGAGACTGTCGTTGTGAGCACTCTGGCTTTTGTTTGGTGACCAGGCAATTTTAGAACTTTTCCCATTTTACTCCTAAGCTTCATTGGAACAGAAGTTCAGGTTTGTTTCTGAGTTTGGAGTAGCCTTTATTTTCTCCTTTTCACATTCTTATATTTGTGAAATACTTTGCGTAAGTATTTGTTACTTCTTTAATTGAATAAAAGCGTTTTAAAGTAAAATAAGTCAGACAGAGAGAGATAAATACTGTATAACATCACTTACATGTGGAACCTTTAAAAAAATCAAAATCATAGAAACAGAAGAATGGTGGTTACCAGGGGTTGGGGAAGGCAGTGGGGGATGTTGGTCAAACAGTGCAAACTTCCAGGTGTAAGATGAATAAATTTGGAGGATATAGTGCTGCATGGTGACTATAGTTAATGCTGATTATATACTTGAAAGTAGCTAAGAGAATAGCTTAAAAAAGGGCTTTAAAAAAATTGGAGCAGTCTAAATCAGAGCTTCTGACTACACACTCAGCTTTAACTTGAATCTAGCAGGGAGAAGATTCTGCAACTTCAGAAAGATGAATTGTATGATGATATGATTTTGTAATATCTCTAATTTACATTTTATGTTACATTTTTAAACAACTTATAGGTTTTCTAAACCTGAAATGCATACATTCAGGCAATATGCATCTAGTTAAGTTGATGAGTTTCAGTGTGCCCAGTGGTTTAGTTTATTCCAGGCACATTTCATTAGAACAAGAAATTAAGGTTTGTAAACGAGAAAGTAGATGTCCGTTGTTGGTTGGTTTGAGATAGAGTATGCATGAGAATGTATATATGAGATTTACAAAAGAAATTTAATATTGTTCCAGGAAACAAGCAGAGCTAAATTATGTAAGATATAGTAATACTGTTCCCTTTTATGCATTTGGATAAAAAGTGTATTGCATAGCTTATGTTTTAGATAGAATTTTGAAATCAGGGTAAAGAAACCTGGGAAATTAACTTTTGGGGACCTTACATGTATACATCTGTGTTCCTCTCATTGGCAGCTTCAGAATCAAAGTCACTATTTTTAGAACATTAATATGTTCAGCGAGAAATTATTCATTTACATATAAATGATTTTAAGTTAAGAAGTCTCTTTGGCATATGTAACATTTATCACTGTTTTCCAGTTAGAGATTCATAGAACATTATTACATAAACATTTTACTTTTGTATCTTGAGATTTCTTATTTTTAAACAAATACTTCTCCTTCTTCACAGGACAAAGTTATACCTTCCTTATTTGGATTTATTGAATATAAAAAGCTTTGTTAGGACTGTAAGATCTGGCCAATGAAATATATTCTTTCTGACAGCATTTAAACTTACCAAGGAAAGAAAGCCAATATAATATTACTGGCAACTTTTTAGACTTTCCCAAGAGAGTTTTTTTAAAAACCTCAAATTGAAATGTTAAGGTCAGCTTTTAAAATCTTTGATTTGATTGCATCCAAACTTCTTACATTGAGAAATGGTAACAGGTATTTGATCTTATGTCTGGGTTAGGGCTGTCCTTGCTCTGTGCTATGAGTCCCTGGTGGATTGACTTAGTGGGCACAGCCAGTCCCTGGAGCTGGACAGAAATGGGGGCTAGAGTTTGTTTTTTGTTGTCTTCCTTTAAAATCTTGTTTTTTCCCACCTGGAAGCACACACACATGCACGCGCGTGCGCACACACACACGATTTGCCATAAAAGTAATGCTCCTGTCTGATTCAAGATATGCAGTCTGTTTGGGGTAAGATCTCTTCCTCCAGAATAGAAACTGGAGCTTTTCTTCTAACATTTAGAATCTGATGGTTGGTTACCATAAAATCTCCTTAGTTCAACAATAAAAGGAGCAGAACTGAACTTTTTCCTTAATTTCTGACCTCCAAAGCAGAGATAATGAATGTTACAAGAATCCTGAACACTCACCCCATTTGAGCAAATTATGGTGACATGATATTTTTCAAATGAGTTAGGAGTGTTTTGATTTACTTAGGTGGGCAGATCAACCGAGAGCCCTATTGACTTCGTCGTCACAGACACGGTTTCTGGCGGTCAGAACAGTGACGAAGCCCAGATTACACAGAGCACCATATCCAGGTTTGCCTGCAGGATCGTCTGTGACAGGAACGAGCCTTATACAGCACGGATATTTGCAGCCGGATTTGACTCTTCCAAAAACATATTTCTTGGAGTAAGTACTATTAATAAGTACCTTGTTTCAAAAAAAACACCATTATCATATATGACATGTAATTGTAACCAAACATTTGATTTACGTGATGCCTCTAGTTAAATTTTGAGATTTTTGTTCTCAGATGGCCAGTTTGAAAAGCTGTTATTAAAAGTCTGAAAATTGTTTTCATTACTTATTGTTTTATTTGCTATAGTAATTATAATATGTACAGTAATTAGTTTTTAAAGTATATCTCTTAACATCATGCAGAATGTACTTATGGTAGTTTTAAGGAGTTCATTTTCATAGGGAAAAATAAGTGGTCAAATATAGATAATTAGGGTTCAAAGGAATATGTTAATTATTTGTCCATTCAGAAATTGACTGTTTGCTGTGCTCCATATTGGGTTATAGATGTGATACCACAGAAAGCAAAACATTAAAAATCTCTCCTTCATAGGGTTTTCATGTAAATTGAACCCAAAAGTTTTAGTGAGGATCCAGTTTTCATATAGTTCCTTTTTGAATCTGGACATTTTTGTAGGGCAAATAAAAACACCCAAATGGCCTAAACCATAACAAAAATGTATTATCCCACATCACAAGAAGTGCCAAAGAAGGCCAGCTGCAGGGTTGGTTAATTCGGCGGTTCTGTGACCTGAGAGACCAGGTTCTTTGTCTTGCCCCCGCCTCACTGGGTACATTAGCTTCCTCGGGCGAGGTCTTCTCGTGGGTGAGAAATGGCTCTTATGCTACCACACATCCCCTGCTGAAGAAGAGGTGCAGATGCACTGTTTATCCCTTGTCTCTTTGTAGAGCAAAGAAACCTACCTTTCCAGGAAGCCTCTCGGAAGACTCACTAAGGTCCCATTGGCCAGAACTCAGCCACATGCCCACCCCTGAACAGTCATTGGCAAGGGGCTGAGATCATCATAACTGGCTTATCGTAATCAGGGTTTACCCAAGTTACGTGAACAATATCTGACTCTGTCCCCAGGAGAGAAGAGTGAAATCAATGTGGTGCAGTCACCCAAGTGTCGGTCCTGCCATTATATCAAGCCACCTGTGAGGATGTCAATACTGATTCGGATGAAAACATAGTAGCCGCAAATTGTTGGCTTCACATTTGTTGAAATTTTGTATGTTTAATATAAATATTTTCCCTTCTTCTGCACATTTCCCTGATAATGAGTTCATACAAAGCATCTTTAAAAAGATAATGAGATGAAAGCACTGCAGAAATAAACTGAAGAATTCACACCAGATTCTGGAATCACCTGAGGGGGTGGGGTGCGGGGATGAAAAAGAATCTCTGAGGGAGAGGCCTAGGCATCAGGTTATTTTGTTTTTAAGCTCCCAAGTCATCCATTTTACCACTTCTTTCATATTGTTGGGCTAATTGCATATTTTATGCTTCTGATTATTAGCTTTAAATAGAAAATGAAAATTCACCACTTTCCTCCCCTTTGCTCCTACCCAATATTTTAAAGAGATTCTAGAATCCCTTCATTTAGCATGCTTTTTCTGCTCTCCAGGAAAAGGCAGCAAAATGGAAAAACCCCGATGGCCACATGGATGGGCTCACTACAAACGGGGTCCTGGTGATGCACCCCAGAGGGGGTTTCACTGAGGAGTCCCAGCCCGGGGTCTGGCGTGAGATCTCCGTCTGTGGAGATGTGTACACCTTGCGAGAAACCAGGTCGGCCCAGCAGAGAGGAAAGCTGGTAAGTAGACTTCACTCTGAAAAACGCAGCAGACTATAAAAACCTAATCAGGGACTGCCCTTTTCCTCCCCTGCAACTCAGAGCCTCTGTGCCGGTGTGAGTGCTGGGCACCTCTGACCAGGAGGGCAACAGTTCTGAAAGCAAGAGGGAAGTGCCTTATGTCCTTTAACAGTTAAGCTTCTCTCATGGCGGAAGAAATTATCTTTTGCTCCTTACAACCTGAGAGCATAATCTTTCATTATATCCTTCACCACAAAAATCCACTTAAATTCACTTTAAAAAGAAAACTTAATTTTAGTGTAAAAGTTTATTAATTTGGAAAAATCCTAAACAGTCTAGGACTAATTAGTGAAAATTGTGATTTACAGAATTATTTATTAGGCTTTCTGGAACTAAAACATAATTAAGTTAGCTTTTTTTTTTAGTCTATAGTAAGGAATTAATACATAATTCCCTATATAACTCACCAAAATGGTAACTACTGCTTTTCGCTTGAAGTAATTCATATAGTGCATTGATTTGGTGTGTTAATATTTTCCTGGAACTATTACTACTAATCCCAAATGCCCTAAAGCAGTTGGTTCTTTAACCCTTTCTTCTATGGAGAATGATTATAATACCTTAAATGAGAAGCTGTGGGTTTCTGATCTTGCTGTAGCTGTGGGGCACAGCACACAAGGTTCTTTTTTTTATTTGAATTTATTGGGGTGACATTGGTTCACAAAACCATACACGTTTCAAGTGCACAACTCAACAGAACATCATGTGCACACTGCATCGTGTACTCACCACCCAAAGTCAAGTCTCTCTCTGTCCCCACTTATCTTCTTTGCCCACCTCCACCTTCCCCCACCCCTTTCCCTCTGGCCAGCACCATTGTTGTGCCTGTCTGTGTGTCATATATATACATAGGTAGATAGATATTTTTGCTTAATCCCTTCACCTTTTATCACCCAACCCCCCTTCCCTCTGACATCTGTCAGTCTGTTTTATGTATCTATGCTTCTGTTTCTGGTTTTTTTTTTGTTAATTTTGTTGATTAGATTCCACAATGAGATCACATGGTACTTGTCTTTCTCTGAGTGCCTTATTTCACTTAGCATAATATCCTCCAGGTCCATCTATGCTGTCGCAAAAGGTAAGATTTCCTTCTTTTTACAGCTGAGTAGTAGTCTATTGTATAAATGTACACAGCTTTTTTATCCAGTCATCTAAAGGTTCTTAGTAAATTTTCCACTCTAGTACTTTTCATTGTTAGATAGAAGCTAGAACAAGAGAAACAAATATTTTCATCAAAGGGACTTCCATGGAAAAAATACAGGGAAATAGAGGATTGATATAGCATTTTTCAGAGAGAAATATTTTTAAGATGGAAAAAGAAGATGGGGAACTGTTTTACTAACTTGGTTTGCTTTTCTTTACTGGCTGTTTATTTTCAGGGAAATTTTAAAATTTCTCTTTTATACCATTATTCAGCTATAGGTACAGCTTCTTTGATGATAAAGCCAGGTCTTGGAGCATCATAGCTGAGTAAAGATGAGAAATATTTTCTAAGAAAGGCCAAGTAAATTCAGTAAACTTTGTCTAAACACTTTTAAAAGAGATTGTAAATAAGGAAGAGAATCTGAAAGCAGTTTTTCCAAATAACTTCTTGTCTCCTATCATTAGATAATGTTACACAGCACTGACCTAGGCTGGCCAGACTGGTTATTAGTCATTCTCACAGCAACAGTGAGAAGTCAGTGAAAGGTTGTGATTGTAGGCACTGCATCAACATTTCAGAGCCATCATTAGCTCCTAATTTAATCTACACGTCTCCACAGGGGGAAGTGGAATTGTCCCCATTATATGGATGAGGAAGGAAGGTATGGCACAGAGAGGTTAAATATTGCCCAATGTCCCAGAGTTAGAAGGTGGCACCAAATTGGATTGAAACTCGGGTCCCCCTGATTGAGAGTCTGGACTCCTAGCCCCCACTCAGTATGGTCTTATGGGGAGTCACACCTGGCTCTCACCTGAGATGGTTCACACCAGAGCAGTTGCCTCCTGGGTAAATATAAATCATATGCAGCAATGCAGGAAGGGCTTGTTTGTCCAGGAGGGCACATCCTGGATGCTTGTCTTGCCCACTCTGATAATTGTGTAGTGACCCAGCTCACACTTCTACCATATGCCGGAGAAGTCTACAGTGCTACTGAAACAGCTCCAAAATAGCTTGTGTGAATGGATTGCATTAAATATAGACTAATTTTAAAGCTTTCCCTGTAAGTGATGCTCAGATCTACGTAAAGCTGTGCTGTACTATTTGATCACATACGACTGACCCAGCCAACAATAAAGGTTTCCAGTTTCTGTCTGTCTGATTTTGGACTTGTGACACCGTGGGGATGAAGGGATCCATACTCCCTGTGACCCCCGCTTGTTAACTTGGAGAGCAGTTTGTCTCTGTCCGAGATAGAAACTTGCTGATTCTTTGCACTTCCATTCCAGTGTGTGACTCTTTGGTCTTGTACATGTTGATGGTAGCAGTTGATATAAATTGTGTCTATCTGAAGGTATCATTTGTAACTTAATATGGGAATATGGAGACTAGAGTGGTAAACTAGGAGTCCAGAATATTTGTTATGACAACAGTCGAGGCCCCCTGGTAGAGAGGGTTTTGTATTAATATCAGTATATTCTGTTTTTAACAAGAAGTCACCACAGTTGCTCATTATTACAGCACATGATGAGCCCCTTGGTCCTTCGTACTTGATCCCCATAATTAAGTGTGGGGGAAATATTTTTTTCAGGAGCTTAAACCCCTGAGTAAATAAAGGGGCAAATGAACTGTGACTTGTGTCCTGCTCATTTGCCTGGTTAATGGTAACATGGTAACATTTATCATACGGCGCCAGTAGACTCTTGAGTATTTTATCAAATTATATTTGAGATATTTTATTAAACCATATTGGCTTTGTATAAAATTAGTTAAATTCAGTTAAGTTGATTTGCTTACCTAATTTTAGGTGAAATTATAAAAATACCCATAGGGTTACCTGGCCAGTGTGGCTCAGTTGGTTGAACTTCCTTCTGTGCCCCGAAAGGTGGTGGGTTTGATTCCCGGTCAGGGCACATACCTGGGTTGGGGGTTCGGAAGGCAGTTGATCGATGTTTCTCTCTCATGTCAGTGTATCTCTCTCTCTCTCTCCCTTCCTCTGTCTAAGCATGTTCTCCGGTGAGGATTTTTTTAAAAATTAAAAAGAAAACAGTGTTACTACACAAGTGCTGTGTTAATTCTCTCTCACATATCACTGAAAGCAACCCTATGAAGTCAGTGTTGTTATTGTTACTATTTATAGATGAGGAAGTCAGGGCTTGCTCAGCTCTTAAGTGGCAGATGGGGATTTGAATTCCCTTCTCCAAACTTAGCCATTGATATTTTAGGGCCATTAGGTTGTAACTGTCTTTCACGTTCACAACCCTGTCTATTCCTTGTGCCTCATCCTTGCACTTTTATTTTTGTAGAGTTTAATAAAAGTCCTTCCCCAGCCTCTGTACAGTGGCATCTTTACCATTCTGCTCCCCACACACTGTATTCTGGAGAAAAGCTACTCATTTTGTTCACAGATAGTGGCAGCACATAAGAAATAACAAATAAGAGGGAAACGGATTACTGTTTGGGCAGCCACTATATATTAGTGGTTCCGAAGGCAGGCCACAGGTTCCAGTCCTGCTTCTTCCACGAAGTAGCTCTACATTCTAAATCAGTGACATCCCAAATGTTGAGTCAGGGTTCGCCAAGAGAGGGGTAATGTGGGGTGGGGTGCGCAGTTCTACTCAAAGGGCATGCTTGTGCACACCTGTGGACAGTCCAGCTTGGTGTATTCATAGACTCGAGCTCTGTGCACTCAGCCTGGGGCAGCCAGCCCTGTTTCACAGTTTGCTACAACGGCAGAGGTCAAGTTGGCCATATTGTGAATACTAAAAAGTTTGGGCTTCATCCTGACGGCAGTGGGGTGCCAGCACAATCCTTTGAGCCAGAGAATGACAAAATTTCTGATCTTCTCATACCTCTCTTCCCCTTACATGATTCTTTTCCTGCACCCCAGCCTTAGTGGGGATGCCCTGGCTCTTCTTCGGTCTCCCTGCCCTCCCAGGGACCCTGCTGGGCAGTCTCATCCATTCTAGGGCTTCACTTAGATGCTGACAAGTCCCAGATGTGCTTCTCTGAGCCACATCTGTCTCAGAGGCTGCAGTCCCACGTGCCTTCTGGCATTACACAACAGACACTCTACATGGCCCGCAGAGCCCGCACACCCAAAACTGACCTCACTCTCTTCTCCCCAAAACCTACCACTTCTAGATCGTCTGTTCAAGGAAAGTCCTGTTCTACATAGACAGTGAAGCCAGTACTTTTCCCACCTCCAGTCTTACACCCATCCAGCCCATCTTCCACACTTCTGGAAGGACCTTTTGGAAAGGCAAATCTGTTCTTTCATAGCTTCCTAAAACAACTCATTGACTCCCTTCGGGCACCAACGCCAACCGACCTCTCCAACCTGGGCCTCTTGTCCTGCCCTCCCCCACATCCTGTGATGGCCCCACCCAGCTACGTCAGCTACCTCCTGAACCTTGTTGAACTCCTTGTTCCTTGATGCATGAGGTGTTTGGCCTTTTCATGCCTCCTCTCCCACCCGCTGACTCTTGACTATATCTTTTTCCAATCTCTGTTCAAGGAAGACCTTTTAGAAACCATTTCTGACTTGACATCATCAGAGTAACAGTAACAAACGTTTACACAATGCTTACTGCATGCCAGGCATTGTTCTAAGCACTTCATTTGTAATAACTCTTTTAACCCTCACATTCCCCTAACCTACATTTTACAGAAGAGGAAACTGACATACTGTGACTTTTTTTTTTTTTTTTAATATGTCTTTATTGATTCCAGAGAGAGGAAAGGGAGAGAGAGAGAGATAGAAACATCAATGATGAGAGATTCATTGATTGAGCCCACAACCCGGGCATGTGCCCTGACCAGGAATCGAACCCTGATCGCCTGGATCCAGGTCGACGCTCAACCGCTGAGCCATGCCCGGCCGGGCCATACTGCGACTTTAACTGCCCAAGGTCACAGGGCTAGGAAGTGACCAAGCCAGGATTCACACCCAGGCAGTGGGCTCCAGAGTCCACACTCAGGGCCACTGTGGTGATGTTGCCTCGCATAGCACTTGCAACACCTTACTAACCTTCAGCTGGAGCTTGTCTGACTCCCGCTGCTAAGGAGCAAGGCTGTGCAGGATAGGGGTGAGATTTCATTGGTCTTGCACCCTGGGCTTAGAAAGCACATGCGGCAGGTGGAGGCAGCAGTTAGATTCCTGCTGACCTAACTGTGCTCTTGTCAGCTGTTCATCAGTCTTGTGAGCACCTTGGTGCTTATCCCAGCCATCATCTCAAAAATGAAGGCTCCCACTGAACAGTTCTGTTCCAGGTCTTAGGAGGGCAGGATGAAAGATAGATTGTTTATAAGCTAGGGGTCACCTGGAGCCACCTGGACACTGCAGTCATGATTGCAGTGCTCCGTGGGGTCTCTGGATCGGCTCTGGCTAGACGAGTGTGGTCTTTACTGGATGAACTGGTAGGACATCTCCCGTCCCTGATGGGATCAAAGAGTAATCATATTATTGACTTAAGGAGGAAAAATAAAAATCTAAGCAGCTTTGTGCTCACTGAAATTACCTCTATGTTGATTGAACACGTCCAGCTAGGTAGATTGTGCTTAGGGCTTTGTGCCTGTGGGGCATGTGTATCATATCCATTGTTCAAATGGGGAAACGGGGGTCAGGGAGAAGCAGCTACACCCCCAGTCCTGCCTTGAGTGTGGTAAACTGCCTTCCTGTGCTTACTTCAAAGATGACTTGTTTATTTTGAGGGGAGTGAATGTCTGTGATTCACTGAATTTTGCTTTTTAAAGGCATATCTGTCAAACTGTTCTAGGTGGAAAGTGAGACCAATGTGCTGCAGGATGGCTCCCTTATTGACCTGTGCGGGGCCACTCTTCTCTGGAGAACTGCGGACGGCCTTTTCCATGCCCCAACTCAGAAACACATAGAAGCCCTGCGCCAGGAGATCAACGCGGCCCGGCCACAGTGCCCTGTGGGGCTCAACACCCTGGCCTTCCCCAGCATCAACAGGAAGGAAGTGGTGGAGGAGAAGCAGCCCTGGGCCTACCTCAGCTGTGGCCATGTGCATGGGTACCACAACTGGGGCCATCGCAGCGACACGGAGGCCAACGAGAGGGAGTGTCCCATGTGCAGGACTGTGGGCCCGTACGTGCCGCTCTGGCTCGGCTGTGAGGCCGGGTTTTACGTAGACGCAGGACCGCCAACACACGCCTTCACCCCGTGTGGACACGTGTGCTCAGAGAAGTCTGCAAAATACTGGTCTCAGATCCCGCTGCCTCATGGAACTCACGCGTTTCATGCTGCCTGCCCTTTCTGTGCCACGCAGCTGGCTGGGGAACAGAACTGCATCAAATTAATTTTCCAGGGTCCTGTTGACTGATGCCCTTGACTTGACAGCCATGTACAACTTTATTAACACATTACTGTGAAGATTTTTGCCACTAACTCTCGATTTTACCTTTTTATAATGCTGTTTATTGGGGGGGGGGACCCTGAGGCTGGGAGGAAAGAGGGAGCACCCTGAGGCTGGGAGGAAAGAGGGAGCATAGTGATGAAACATGCTAGGAGTTGAACAGATACCAATGGTGTGTTGCATGCTCCAGACAGTAGCAGCAGCATCGAAGTCTGCCTGATAACCACGTTATCTTTGTGATGATTGGATTTCAAACGCCATGCTTTTATTTTAACCTTGGGTTTTTAAACAAGTTTTGTTTTGTTTTTTTCCTTTGTAGCCTTGGGCACAACTTTAAATCATATTTTACAAATGAAGAAATTTATTCTAAAGTTGTTGGCTCATAATATGCCACGATCCATGCTGCAGGGTGTAGGTGTTACCTGAGAGATGTGTGACATCTGGAAATACTTGATACAACAGGCTAGAATCTGACCAGATACCAAAGGGCGGCTTTGTAAAATGTTATTGGTGGACCAGAGACCTTAGGCACAGGTGGTGGTTTTGAAATCTGGGCCTTTTTTCTGATTTATTTTTCTTTTGGGAGAAAATATTCATATGTTCTGTTTTCTTTTTATTAACTTTGGTGGAATTTAATTATCTTACACACACATTCACCAAATACCTTGGCATTTCAAACAAAGAATTTTCAGTAACTTTTTAGTCTGCCTTTTGTTATTTTTGTCTAGTATATTTTGTCCTTGATATTCATCAAACATGGCCAGAACTGTGCAGCTGATTAAAATGTAGCAACTTTAAAAACATTCATTCACTGAGGGTGATTATTGCAGCAGTAAACATGGCCAAGGTACTATAACGTCAAGTTTATTTGCTTAACAAATTGTTTTAAGATTTAAGAGCGATTAAAAATGAGATTTTATCTGGTGCACACGTTTATACTAGAGAGATAAGAAAGGCTAGGCTCCAAAGGGTATTTTGTTATCCAATTACTGCAACCTGACTTTGGGGGGAAGAGGAAGAATGGTAGGGGGAGGGAGAGAAAGGGGAAGAGTTTCCAAACTTGCCTCCAGTGACATTTACACATCACAAGATAAAATTGCCACTTACAACCCAGGAGAGCTAAACCTCCCTGGGTTGGCCTGGGTGCTCGAGCAGAGCCATGGGTTCTCTGGCCCTGCAGTTGTGCGCTCTCCTCTGCCTGGCAGCTCACTTTGTTTCTGGCAGCCCCATCATGAGCCTGGAGCAGTCGCCTCTGGAAGAAGACACGCCCCTCTTCGATGATGCCTTCTCAGAGCAAGATGGCGTTGACTTGGACACACTGCTGCAGAGCATGAAGAATGAGTTTCTCAAGACATTGAACCTGTCTGACATCCCTACGCAGGATTCAACCAAGGTTGACCCACCAGAGTACATGTTGGAACTCTACAACAAATTTGCAACAGACCGCACCTCCATGCCATCTGCCAGTATCATCAGGAGTTTCAAAAATGAAGACTTGTTTTCCCAACCAGCCAGTTTTAATGGGCTCAGAAAATACCCTCTCCTCTTCAATGTGTCCATCCCTCACCATGAAGAGGTCATTATGGCTGAACTCAGGTTGTACACACTGGTGCAAAAAGATCGCATGATACATGATGGAGTGGACTGGAAAATTACCATTTTTGAAGTACTCGAGAACACAGAGGACAATGAGGAAAGAAACATGCTGGTCTTGGTGTCAGGGGAGACCTATGGAACCAGCAATGAGTGGGAGACTTTTGATGTCACCAGTGCCATCAGACGTTGGCAAAAGTTGGGCTCATCCACCCACCAGCTGGAAATCCACATTGAGAGCAGACATGATGAAACCGAGGACACTGGCAGGGGACACCTGGAAATAGACACCAGTGGCCAGAATAAGCATGTCCCTTTACTTGTTGTGTTTTCTGATGACCAAAGCAGTGAGAAAGAACGGAAAGAGGAGCTGAATGAAATGGTCACCCAGGGGCTAGACAACCTGGATGATTATTCCAGTGGACCTGGGGAAGAGGCTTTGCTGCAGATGAGGTCAAACATTATCTATGACTCCACTGCCCGCATCAGAAGGAATGCCAATGGAAACTACTGCCAGAGGACCCCACTCTACATCGACTTCAAGGAGATTGGCTGGGACTCGTGGATCATTGCCCCACCTGGATATGACGCCTATGAATGCCGTGGTGTTTGCAACTATCCCCTGATAGAGCATCTCACAACCACAAAACATGCAATTATCCAGGCCTTGGTCCACCGCAAGAATTCCCAGAAGGCTTCCAAAGCCTGCTGTGTGCCCACCAAGCTGGAGCCCATCTCCATCCTCTATTTAGATAAAGGTGTTGTCACCTACAAGTTTAAATATGAAGGCATGGCCGTCTCTGAGTGTGGCTGCAGATAGAAGAGTTGTGTCGCTTATTTAATAACTATATGTGTATTAAAAAAAATGAGATTTTACTTTTTAAAACTATTTGTTGGGGCTTCATAACTTTTTATTTTCTTCCTTAAGAAAACTAACCCAGCTGGCATGGCTCAATAGTTGAGCATCGACCTATGGTCCAGGAGGTCACAGTTCAATTCCCAGTCAGGGCACATGCCCGGGTTGCCAGCTTGACCCCCAGTGGGGGGCGTGCAGGAGGCAGCCGATCAATGACTCTGTCTCATCATTGATGTTTCTCTCTCTCTCCCTCTCCCTTCCTCTCTCTGAAATCAATAAAGATATATTTTAAAAAAATAAGAATAAAATAAGAATAAAAAAGAAAACGAAATTTCTGTGAGCCTAAAAGCAACATATCACAATGACACAGGGGTCTTTATTCGCTCCCTTTCCACCATCTGTCACCTTCCCTTGCAGCTTACAGAGCCCTGGAAGTTTTGAAAATGTTTGCAAATCAAACTACATTTAAATGTAATGATTAGATATACACAACACCAAGTGGTACATCTGCAGAGATAATTTGAAATTCCTGATTTCAAGAGAGCAAATGAGTGTTTACTGAGGAATAATTAAATCAAAATTTCAGATGAGCTCCTCCATCCCCCTGTTATTTTCATTTCATTTGGAATAATAATTCCTGGGTGCTCATTCTGTGTGGTATCTGTAATATCACTGCTCCCAGAATGGAAAGATCCTTCAGGACAGAGCTGGCTGAGATGAGCTGGATCCCTGCCACATGGAGCAAGTATTTATTTAAGCTAACATCCTCTTAAATTGACCACTGCACATTCATGCTACATTTTTTAACCTTTGTAGAGATATCTAATTTATATGGTTCTAATATACTATATCCATACTTGAATTGGTTTTTTTCATGCTTTGTCTCTCCTGGCAAATATTTTGCCTGTTTTCAGTTGTTCTAACCCATTTTTCAATGTCCTCCTTGAAGTGGTAAACTATATTCTTTAATTGCTGCTGCTTGATTTGACTTTATAAAAAGTTCAGCCTCTCAGTTATAAAATAGCTTTACTTTTCCATGAAGACTGCTGTTTAGGGTGAGATGTTTTTGTTTGGTAGGTTTTAAGTGATGTGAAAATCCAACGACAGTCCTCTTAATCACTTACTCTTCTGTGTAGGGTACTCCACCTGCAGACAGAAAAGGAAACAATGAAATTGCCTAAATAATACATCAAATGCCTCTTGATTTAGCCAGACAGTCTCCAGTGATTAGCTTTCACTGATAGAGTGTGCCTTTTCAATCTGTGATTCTTTGGGCTCCATAAAATGGGACCCGGGCCCTTTTCTTGCTATAGAGCCAAAAGATGGTTTGAGGATTCTTAATACCCTAAAAGCATCTTGTAAGGCAAATGGTCTTCCATCCAGAAAGGCTAAGTTTTACCTATCTAAAAACATTTTTTTTTCCAGAAAGTTACACTCTGTTACAATTTTCCATCTCAAGTACTATATATAAGTCTTAGCAATTCTGCATACAACATATGCCTCAAAACAAAATTATCTTCCAACCTGAAGAGTTTCTGACTTTTAGCAAACTCGGAGAGCTAAATGCAAGTTGAAATTTGGGTAATAAATTCCAAACTCTTGGAAGGGGTCACAGTGAACCACCCTCCTTCAGCTCTTTATCTTGTCCTTTGGCCTCCACATTAGGTCCCCTCCCACCTGCCTGAGAAACCAGAGGGGGGGCAAGTCTGCAAAAAGGAAACCATGCTCATCTTTGCCACATCTAGTCAGATCCTCTTACAGTTTTGGCTGAGATTTCTTGTTCAGAGTTGAGAGCAAGTTCCTTTGTAAGACTAAAGAACTAGCTCGCCAAAGTAGAGTAATATAGTTGAGAAAAGGTGACTTCTCAAAGGTCACTTTTGTTTTTATGTCTTGCTTGACACTGTATTCCAGGGTGAGTCCCACTCCCCCATGTGCATTCATAGGAAATTACTGACCAGTTATCCCCACCTCGGCCTGACCGAAATGCCTTTCGTGAATAGGTTTCCAGAAGTTTGCCCCCAGTGATGTATTCCCATAGGTATTATTTTCTCAGTTGTTTACTACAAAAAAAAATAATAATAAGATTCAGAGTGAATGGGGTTACAACACAATATTTTTCTAGTCTGGAATTTTTTTATTAACAATCGGTGCTGCCGGGTCGTGCATGCTGCAACTCTTAAAATTTCCCTTATTTGGTTATGCTTTTTGCAAAAAGGGCTACAGTTCACACTGCAGAGTATTAAGTAAGCTTTCTGGGGGCGGGGGGGTTCCCACTGTGGCCCAAAAGAATTAAAATCTTTTAATATAAATAGAGAGCATATTTATCATTCCTCGATAGTTAATTATAGAGTTTGGTACCTTTGTGCCTCAGGGAAGCCATGTGATATAAAGTTACAGAATTTCAGGGGTAGGGTTTAGGGAAAGGAGAAAGCCATTGGAAAAATGATGGGCTCCATTAAGGAGACTAATGAGTCTGGATGCAGAAATATGCCAGGAACTGGCATACACATGATTGTAGAATTTATTTCCAGTAACAATGGGGAAGTTATTTTTAAGTTACTACATATACTGTGTGGGGAAAGTTGAGGAAGAGCTCGTCTTCATAAAGCTTTGATGCTTTGCTTTTGCTTACATAGAAAAACTCAGTCCCGTTATGTCGGAAGCTCAGTAGTATTGTTTGGGCACTTTTGAGAGTTTCAGGAAAACGTTTCCCCCTTCTTAATTTAAGTGTGACACAGGTCTCAGAATTGTCACCTGTTCTATAATTTCGATCAACTTTTCTCTGTTGAAAGCCATTCTGTTCTCCGGATTTGCATGAAAGGGTTATTTATGATCGCACCATTGTTAACGCTGGCTAAAACGTAGTTGTGTTCAAGCGACCCCGCCTTGTGACAGTGGGATTGTGCGAGGCAAAGCACAGAGCCGGGTCTGCAGGCAGGGCAGCTCCGTCCCCTGTCCCCTGCGGGCGCCTTACATCCCGCGGCCCAGCCTTGTGGCTGAAGGTGAAGTTCCTCCTCCGGTGCTGGAAAGAGAGCGCAGCCCTGCGGTGGTTTCTTTATGACCCAGAGGCCAGTGAGAAAACTTTAGGATCTTTAGGAAAGAATGTAAGACCTAGCGAAGCAGTAAAACAAGACGTTTCAGTATTTCCTTTTTATAAAACGTGTATCCTCTCAAGTAAATTTTAGCCCTCCTGAAGAATCCCTAGAGGAAGACATGGAAAAGCAAATATTTTTCCAGTTCTATTTAACTGTTTCTAAACAAAATAAACTCAATGAAAGGGAAGTTTGTTTTTTGAGTTTTGGGTTTTTTTTTTTTTAGCTGAGGTGACAGATTGCTTCTCTGTATTAAATAGCC